CCCCCGGGACAGAGGTGAGTACTGGTCCGATCATTCTTTATCCAGCCGCAATTCACCCCCAAAGAAACCAGCCTCTCCTCCCCAACGCAGGCTTACAGAGGAAAACTGAGCACATGGTTTTCACGTTTCCATAATTGATGATCTCCTGCGATCTGCTGATTTCTGCATGTGGAGGCATATCTGCCAAATTCTTTTTTTAAAATAGTAAAAGATTTTTTCAAACGTGGCTGTACAGAACAATACAATAAAACGCAATCTTGAGGAGAGCTTGTTTCTCAATGGGAGATGCATTCTAAATGCATCTTATTTGGAATTATGCCTAATTTATAATACAGCTCAGTGCATGGGTGGATCTGTGTCCAGCTCTGTGAGGGCAGGTGGGTAAAGTTGGGTGTAGCCCTCCTCCACATCACCTCACATCTGGCCCCTGTGCCTTTAAAGGCCCCTGCCGTTGTCATGGTTTTCTGAATAGTCAGCAAAGTAACTTTCTTGAATGAGAAGTGCCTGGAGCTTTGTGAACAGAAGTAAATACATACCACTGTAGTTTATACATGTTGATGAGAATATCAGTCGTGGGGAAATGTGGTTTTGAGTTCCTTTGGTCTAACTGTGATTTTTATGGCTAGCAGAAATGTTTGACCGTCTCAGATGCTGAGAATCTATCGGATCAAATGACAGGGCCATGATCCCACAGGCATGCTGACTTATGTCTTGCTGTATGGTAACATAATATAACAATAACCGGGCCTTATGGAAGCTGATATTTGATGGTCATTTGATTAAACTGAACTGAGGGGAAATAGAACATGCAAACTAGAAGAAAATGCTCACAAATGAAGCCAGTAATGCATTTATTTTAAAAGCTAAAATTTGAGTTCCAAGCATATCACTGTAGTTTAGAGTCTCCCTGTCATATTTATAGATTTTTAAAACTTTTTTGAATTATTTATTTTTATTTTAGTTCAACAAAGCTATGGTGTTTGTTTGTTTTGGTTTTTGGAGGGGTGGGTATCCACATAATAGAGTAAATCAGCAAAGAAACTGAATTAAATTGAATTAAAATGAATTATTAGAATCAGAGTTATTGGCACTCAGTAATTTTAAAGATTATGTTTTACTAACATGCTTAGCTTCTTCAACAAGGATTCCCGAGATGCCTATAACTCTAGTTGGAGGGATTTAACCCTTTTTTTCTGGTGATGGAGCGCTATGAAACAAGTTGGTCCAAGATCTTCTCCCTATGGTCAGTTGGGTTCAAATCTAAGGGCTGCAAATCTCAGAGCACAGAATTCAAATCATTTCCATGCATATCAAATCATTCAGTTGGCCCAAAGATGGGAGCATGGTCATCGTAGAAGTGCCTTTTCCCATTTGAATAGAACAGTTTCATCAGAGGGTAAAGACGATAACTCACAGCAACTTTATATTGATTCGCAATAACATGTCCCTTTAAGGGGACAAATGGACCCAAATCATGTATCCTTTGCAGATTAACAGAGCACCTGATCCCCTCACCGTACTCTAGCTGTGTTCAGGAATCTGTTTTAATCTGTCACCTGCCTGTGGTGGCAGCCCGCTGTAATATCTACTGAAGAACGCCAAACAGATGGGCGACAAATTAAAAGAAAAGTCACAGCAAACGAAGATGACAGATGGAGTAGGCCTTCAAACAGGGTGCAGTTGGTCACCGAATGGCTTGAAAATGAACACGTTTTACAGCTTAATCTATGTTGGTAGACAACTTACCCCCTCCAATCATCATAAAATAGGAAAAAGCAGAACGTGAGAGTCTCCGGCCGTAAAGATTTCACTTGAGCCCGTGTGTTGTGGCCCGATACATTCATCAGGCTGGCCTTTAATTCTCACCCATCTGTACGTTATTGCTGTTGCTGATTTACTCGACATCCCTAACACCCCCGGCCCTGCGTAGGGAGTCACTGAAAACTGCAGTCGGCTCCACGGAACGTCTGTTTCCCTCCACCAGAGGCTACTAACCGCGCAGACATACAGGAAAAAAATATCGACATGCACAATGTTTGCAGGCTGAAGTCTCCACCGACCCAGAGTGGACACTCAGAAATGTGATGTGTTCCAGGGGGCAAAATTCTGCTATGATAGATAAACAACCCCCTCTCTGCAGGCTCATTCTGTGCATGGGTGTGTGTGTGTGAGTTAGGGTGAGGTTTAAATGCTGACTGGAGTCTGAGTAGGTCACTGAGACCAAACGGCTGTGAGAGTCAGACCCAGGACTCAGCGTCTTCCTAAGCTGCTTTCAGCCACACTGGAATCCTTCCATCCCAATATCCTCCCAGTTTCAGATCCTCCGTCGCCTGCTTACTCACCCCTCGGCACTAAGCACACAAATATGTAGACACACACGCACTCCAGTCGCTCTCTCTTTCTTCTTAAGTAATGTTTTTTTCTTTGATCTGGCCTTATCTTTTTTAGCTTCTTCCTTCTCTGCATTTCCAGGGGTCATGGAAATTAGATTGTGGAAGTCTTTGATTCTCTGTGCCTCACGCTGCCTCCGGGTCATGCCCTCTTATCTCAGCAAAAACAAACAAACAAACAAACAAAAACAGACAGAAAAAAAGTAACGATGATGGAGATAACAGAAAGACTGATGAGAAGAGAAGTGAGAAGAAGAAGGGACCAGCTGAACAGCAAGAAATGAAGGAAAAGCAGAGAAAGGGCTCTGTTGACAGATTAACGCAAAGATATTGAGAAACAAAAGAAAAGCCAGTGAGAGAGATTTAAGCCAAGCTAAATAACAACTCAGCAAAACAAAAACTACAGAGAAAAAGACCAGCAGTGATGTGGAGGGTGGCAGAGTGAGTGATACAGATGCCCGGATGCTTTCAAAATGATCCATTTCTATAGTTTCTACAGGAGCTGCAGATCATAATTTGATTGAATATCTTGAGCCACTTTTGCTCAGGTTGCTTTAAAGTTTTGCGTTTCAAAAAGAGGGCTAGATTCCAAAGTTATACTGTCAACCGTCTCCCAAATGTCAATAAGAATAAAGAAAATCTTCTTAGTTTTATGACGTAAAAATGATTTATTTAGATTTTGATTGTTTTTTTGGGGGGACCAAAGCTCAAAGCGTGATGCACCACTGCCATTTATCTATTAAGAATCTAATTCTTACTCGAAAATATGACCTATTAAATTAGAGAATTTTGCACAAAAAAAAAAACGTAATGGTCAAAAAAGGAGCACTCTGATTCAAGAGGAAAAGAAAAAATCAGATCAGTACCAAATGGTTCTGATGATGGATCAATGAGAAGAAGTGAAAAGTAAAAATGGGCCAAGGAGAGATGGATGAGCTACAGAGTTAGGATGGCGAGCAGTGTTGGGGAGAGTGAGTACGATTTGAACTTCTGGACATAAATGACGAGCCGCAGGAAAGACTGACAGGATGTGTCTGTTCATCCGTCTGCCAGTGTGTCAAGGAGATCGATTTTGTGTTGTGAAGAACCTGGATGTGGACGCCTTAAGTGAATGTTTGTTTTGATGTTTTTTTAATCGTTTTCCTGGGTTAGACAATCAGTTTGGAGTTAAACTGTTTTTTCTCCATTCAAAAACACCCAAAACCTAAGAAGAAAAAGAAAAGCTTTTAATCCGGGATCGTTAATGTCTTAATCACCATGAATGAACCTTTGCTGTCAAAACAGAGCACGTGCTATTGAGTGTGGTTATGCTTGGGTAGAATAATAGATCTAATTATTGAGCGTCTGTGCATACGGTCATTTGAAAACTCATAATGCGCCCCGCTGTCGTAATTGAATTGCAAAACACATTCTAATGTATCAGTGTTCTTAATGATGCGCCGTCTCATTCTTCAATCTAATGATTTTCAGACTGAAACAGAGCCATTCAGCTCCAACCGATCATTGAGAACTTTTTAAATCCCATTGGGTTAGATCAAACATGGAAGAAGTTTGGATATCATGCTTCTGTTTTTGACGTTTCTTTGCAACCTGTTGTCCCAACAGGCTGTGATTGGTCTCACCCCAAGATGACATCCCCCAAAAACAAAGCCAAGAAGAAACCACCTAAAGACAGCATTACATTGCTACCATGTTTTTATTTTGTGGAGGTATGGAAAAAAATAATCATTGTTTTGAATATTGAAATGCTTGGTTAGATTTTTCCCTGTTTTTTCTGAGCTGGTCAGATCTATATTTTTCAATAATCAATCTGTCAGCAACTTTTGCATGCCAAATTAACCTGAATACCTACAACCTCCAAGTTCTGAAGTACTTTTCCGTCCTTTCTTCCATGTATGTGAGGGCAGAATAAGTTTGCATCAAAGTGAAGCTGAACTCATGTCTGAGGAAAAATGAAAGGCTGACTCTCTGCTTTGACCCCTTGTTCCTGTCCGTGTGTCTGGACTTTGCGTCTGTCCGCTGTGTCCGTGTAGCTCCCCATTGTCCTGTCCTCCCTGGTGTCCCTGTACTTCTTGGAGTTGACAGATGTCTTGTCCCCGGCGATGGTGGGCTTCCGTTGCCATGACCGCGACCTCTCCATGCCCTACGTGGAGACGGGTGATGAGCTCATCCCCCTTTTGATGCTGCTGAGTTTGGCCTTCGCTGGACCAGCAGCTTCTGTAGGTCCATGGACACACCTTCATTTGATGGCTTCCTTGTGTCCTCCTTCATATCTATTCAAACAAGTTCAATCAAACGAGTCTCATCCAAACTTGGCCTAGCCTGACACGTCACAAATTGATAATCATTAAGGCACCGAAAAGTACATAAAAACACATAGGTCTCTCAAATAAGCAAATGTTCTCCTGTTCAAACACACAAATTGACAAATATACACCTGGCATTCCCATAGGCATAATCCAACACGCTAAAGCCCCCCCCCCTAGTCAATAGACGTTCTCACACACGGACACACTCGCACACGACCAATCCATCAGCAGCATGGAAACCAACAGACCTCTCTAACCTTCATTTATCACCCTGATTGGAAGTGATCACTGTTCAATAGCTCCTTGCCTCCATTCTCCCTTCGCTGAAGTCCCTCACCGTAGATCACAATCACAGACATTTACATCTGACATTAATGCCACTCTTTTCCCCCATTCATTTTCTTTTTTTATTTCTCTTTTTTTTATTCTTTTTTTATTCGTTGCAGAACTGAAAAATATTCATATCACCCTTTTTTTTTTTCTTTCCTTGCCTCAATTGTTGGCTGTAGATTATGTTGGGGGAGGGCCTGATGTACTGTATGCAGTCCAAAATGAAGACTTGTCCCAAGTCGGAGGGCAGCATCAATGCTGGAGGATGCAGCTTTAATTCCTTCCTGCGTAGAACTGTGCGCTTTGTGGGTAAGTCGAATCATCAGCGCTGTGGGGACTTATAGACGGACACGGTAATAACTGGGAAGGCCTGTGAAGTTGTAGTTTAAACACACCCAACATCAGACAACACTCAGTGTTTTTTGTATGAAGGATGTATTTCAGACTAAGCCAATTTTGGCTCAACAAAATCATTTCACTTACTGCCTGAGCCCCTGACTGTATTTATTCATTTTTCAAAGCAAATAAATGAATTAATTACAGACTGTAAATTAAGGATGTCTCGCTACTTTAAATTAAATATCTTGAGGTATCATTCAAGCTTTGGAGTAAAAGCAGCAATTAATTCACCTAGGTAGATTTCTTTGTATGCATAAAGGCCACAAAACGCAAGAACCTGGAGGCTTGTGGCGTCCCTTCATCCAGTAGTAAACGCATCATTATTTTCTGCCATGGCTCACACAAGGAACAGCTCAGTATGAGCAAGCCACCTGGGGCTTTTAGTTCATTTACCAAAAGAGCCCTTAACAACTCTGCCTCTTACCTCTCCCCCTCAGGTGTTCACGTATTCGGTCTCCTGGCAACAGCCCTGGTGACAGATGTCATCCAGTTAGCCACTGGCTACCACGCCCCTTTCTTCCTCACCGTATGCCAGCCCAATTACACGGCCCCAGGAGTGTCATGTGACAACAACGCCTACATTACTCTGGACATCTGCATGGGAAAGGATCAATATGCTATTATGTCAGCCAGGTAACACACACTGTTACAACCCTCACCAAGAGTGTCTCTTTGTGCCGGATTTCAAAGCTAATACAATAAATCATTTCTTTCTCTCTCTCTCTTTAACTCTCGCTCTCCCGCTTTCTCTCTCACTCTCTCTCTCGGACAATTTATAATGATAAGGTTCTATCCTGAATACTGCACATCACTTTCTTGTAGTAATGTAGTTGAGTTATCAGAGCAAATTCACACTTGAAAATAATCAAATGAAAGTGAAATTGAGACATCTACGTTGGCTGGTGTGTTAGATGAGAGTAGTTTTTCATAACTAATTATATGTTTCTTTTTAAAGATAAGTTTCCTGTTTTCTCAGGTGGAATATTTTTCTTTCCAGATGCTTTGCGTTTGAGGAAGCTTTTTATTGCAGTCTTATTTGCCTTAACACAGACACTTCAGATTAACATAAACAAGCTCCAGAATTTGGCTTTAATATTTAGACTTGTCAAGCTCAGTGCACTGGTTTGTCCACGTTAGTGGGAACCCATTGTCATATAACGTCTTTTTTAAGGTCCTGGTTACAAATGATAAAGAAATTAAAGACTGTGGACCTATAATACACATTAAGCATAATGCTTTGACTCAAGGATACACACATGGACTCACTAGAGAGTCCCTTTATAAGGCGAATTAAACAAGATTTGTTTATCACTACTTTAAACTGCAAATTAACTGCTTTGACCTGAACTCATTTAGAATTATTCCTTCAATTGGCCCCTTGGCATTCTGTTTGTGTTTGTTAATGCTCACAGCCGTCCATTTGATAAACACTCATTCGGACAGACACAGGGGTTTCACTGCCACATACAATCCTGACATCACACATCACACAGCCAGGTTTATTCAAGAGGCATCGAACACAGTGAAATTACATGCCACTGTCTTTTTATGAAAACATTAGCCTTTTTATCTGTTTGTGCTTTTTACTCCTTTATTCCTAACTCTCCCCTTTTGTCCCCCTTAGGAAAACATTTCCATCCCAGCATGCGACGTTGTCTGGTTTTGCTGCAGTATACATCTCCGTAAGCACTTTCTTGGATAATGACAAATTTCCCTGGCGCTTATACATCCCTTAATGTGTGTGCCAGAATCTGTGTGCCAGTGAGATAATGACCAGTTAACCCTGGTTTTATTTTATTCAGTGTTTATTCATGCATTAATCAATGGAGAAATAATTAGTGATACAAGTATGTACATCAAGTATGGCTCGTCATGAATTTATCATCTGAATAATTCTGTCACACTTATAATTCACAGCTATTTGATTGGCCCAAAATGATCAAATAACAAAATAGTTTTTTTTCATGTGAGGGTACACTGTTGAATCTGATTGTGCTGTGCAGCCATTTCTTTTGCTTTTCTGCTGTCTTGAGCTGACTACAGCAGCTGTGCTGATAAAAAAAAAGTAATTTTCTGAGATAAGGCCATCCGAAACACACTGTCTTCCACCAGTGGCTATTGCGAGCTACTGGCCACATCACTGCTGCCTAACTGGGCCCAGTATCTCCTTACTAAAACCCACTATGACGAAGGGCGGCCAGACAAAGAAAAGCATCGGTTTGAACTGATACATGATATCGGATCCGTGCACTGAATACATTCTTGTACTGATTATACGTGAACCTCAAAAGCCTTACTGCAAACTTGCATTGAGTTGATCTAAACAATTCACATAGCAGAGATTTCCTTATGAAGCAAACACTTTGTTCAAGGTTCACTGAAGTTAAGCTGAATATAACTGAAATCTCTTCATACTGACGGATTTTGTCTCTTGCTTCTAGAAGCACAGGATTTCATGCTCAGTAGTCCATGGACAAGCTTGTTAAAAAAGGATATTTTTGCAAGACCTGCCATTCTGTCACTCAGCTGTCCTTTTTTTATGTAATCAAAATAGGGTGTGCATGCAAAGAATGTGGATGCACAGAAAAGCGCCTTTTCTCTGCCTCCCCTGCTCACTTGTCAACGGTTTTACTGTCAAAGGATATTTGACCATCTGGCACATTTTCATCATTTTTTTGTTTGTTTGTTTTTTTTGTTTAGTTTACTTTAACTCAGCAACTGCAATGCAGTGAGTGGCTATTCAGTCTTCAGGCCAAGCCAGGCTAACGGCCGTTGCCTCGCATGTAGTGAACAGATATGATAATTTACCTTTTTTCAAACTCCCAATCTTACTCACTAATGGGACTGATACCTGACATTGAATCAAATCAAATTTAGAATATATTCACCCAGTGTATAATACATGGACATTGCATGTAATGTGTGATTGTGTGTCTGCTGTAGTACCTTCTCATGTCAGCATCTACGGTATATCTCAAGCGACTAATCCTTTGCCAATCTGTGTTTGTCACTATTTGCAGATGTACTTCAACGCCAGCATCAACAGCACCACTAAGCTGCTGAAGCCGCTGCTGGTCTTTGCTTTCTGCATGGCGGCGGGCCTCGCCGGCCTGACACAGATAACGCAGTACCGCAGTCACCCCATAGACGTCTACGTGGGCTATCTAATTGGAGCTGGAATCGGAGTCTACCTGGTTGGTTGAATAGTGTAATCAAGAGGGTGTGTGATACAAAAAGCATAAAGACTGGCTCCTTAAGATTGATTGAATCTAGAGACTAAATAAATGCTATTTCTGCTGTGAGAGAATTACCCCATTTAAGATCATTTGGCTTAGTGAAATAGACCAATGAATTTGTACTGAAATGCAACCATTATCTAAGGCCTGATGGAATAGAGTGCCAGCATATGCTTGTATATACTTCTGAATGTGTTTTATCCCCAGGGAGTAGTTAACACTCAGTATGGAGCACAGATTATTTGAATAAGGTGGTTAGCTTGTTTCACTGTCATTGTTTTGTTGTATTATTCTAACGCGATCGTGGCATATGCTAACAAATTGCTTGTTTCTCTCAGTCACCTCACCTCCCTGTGTGACTTTCATACTTTTTCTCAGATTCTTTTGACAGGCTATATATAGCCTTTTCTATTACAGAGGGAACGGTGGGGGGGTGAATAATCCAATAAGAATTCTCTTGAACAATTTCACACCTCATTTTTAAGAAAACTAGTCGGTGCCATTTTCCATGCTCCCCTCCACTCCTTTTTTCTCTGGACTCTTGCTTTGCAAGGGAGGGGTGCATTTCCTCTTGTCATTAAGGATGAAAAGAGGGAGAGGAGGGTGATTCATGCTGACCTCAAATGAAACATTAGGAGGTCAGGATGACAATTCATGCGCACTCTCCCCACAAATAACGAGAAAAAAAACTAATCTTTTTCTCCCACAGATTTCAGAAATCACTTTTTCACGCTCTAGTTTTTATTTAACATGCACGGCGCATCTGTCGGCTCATGTATTTTTTCTTCCCTTTCCTCATATAGGCTGTGTACGCTGTGGGAAACTTCAAAGCGTCAGAGGAAGATGCGCCCTCTTTACGGCGGCTAACCTCGGTCCAGCAGAAAGACGGCCTGAGGGTGTTGAGCCAGCGGAGTCACGACTCCCTGTACAGAAAAACCCCCAGGGTGTCTGAGAGCAGGGAGGAGCTGGGCGCCGGGCTGGGGTCGGGAGCCCGCAGTAAGGTGAGGAGGGAGAAGGCCTCCCTGGCCTCGCTCAAACGAGCGAGCGCTGATGTGGAGCTCCTGGCAACCCGCGGCCCGATGGGGAAGGAGACCATGGTAACATTCAGCAACACCTTGCCCAGAGTTGCAAACGGGAGCAGCCCCATCTCCCCCTCGGAGGAGCCGGTCGTTACGCAGCGTCACATGACTTTCCACGTGCCCTTTGACCCCCAGAGGTCTCGGCAGCTGGTGTCCGAGTGGAAGCAGCGCTCTTTGGAGCTCCGCAGCCAGAGCTCACGAGACGAGGACGAGGCGGCGGAAGAGAGAGACAAAGGAGGCGACCGGGGAGAATCGGAAAGCCAAGGGATGCCCCCCTCTCTTTATCCGATGGTGCAGGCCAGCAGCAGCACCAGCGCGGCGGCCGCAGCCAGGATGGTGGTGGCACCGCCACTCGTTCACATCCCCGAGGAGGCCACGCGACCGCCCCCCGTCTCCCCAAAAAGCGCCAAGACCCGCGCCAAGTGGCTGTCCCTCACCGAGGGAGGAGGGGTGAAAGAGCCCAGCCCGGGGCCTATTGCGGTGTCCACCCCCCGAGTGCCCAACACGCAGCCCGGCCAGCCCCCCAGCCAGCAGAGGGTCACTCAGGTGAGGACCGGATTAGGAAATGAATGCCTGCAAATGATCCGAATTACATTATCTCGAACGGTAATTCTCCCTACTTTTATTTCCGGTGGAATGCGGCCAGCCCTGAGAAATATAGTTCAGACAGGGAAGGAGATGTAGCGGCAGCCAAACGCTGTGTAAGCTACACACCTATAATTTATTTAGTCAGTAAAACTAAGATGTCGGAGGAAGCAATTTCCCCTGATTAGTTTACCATAAACCGCACTCTCACAGGTGAACAAACAGAAATCCAATCTTAAATCTTAAATACGTTTTAATCTTCAATAGACTTAAATCTTATGAAACAGTCTGGGAGGATGTTTGATCAATTTCCCTTATGTTTACAGCGTTTGCCCGATACAAAAAAAAAACTCCCGACCCTAATTTCATGGTGCCAATATCATTTTTGTTGACATTGGTAGGAAAAGCATCAATGTACCCATTCTGAGGAGATTTTACTCTGTCCTGCAGGTCATAGCCATGTCAAAGCAGGGTCACGGACCGCTGTCTGGATCTGCCAAGTCCTCAGAGGGTGGCTCCTCCTCTGGCGGCGGCTCAAACTGCTCCGAGTCTCCCTACTACCGCATCCCGTCGGATCGGGACAGCTGCACCGGAAGCAACCCGGGGAGCATGGGCGGCAGCGGGAGCATCGTCACCATCGACGCCCACGCCCCCCACCACCCGGTGGTGCGCGTGTCGGCCGGCAACGGCAAGCCGTGGGAGTGGAGGAACACCATCAGCGGGAACGTGGTGGCGGGCGAGGCGGCGGGCGACAAGCACCGCGCGGCCCTGCAGCGGCAGGACAACCTCAGCCACTACCGCGACTACCGGACCCTCCCCGGCAAGACCGACTCGCTCTGCTCCTCCACCGCCAGCGGGAGCGCCGAGGGGGGCGAGCTGCCCCCCCCGCCGCCGCCCTCCGCCCCCTCCCCCATGCCACCTCCGCCTCATTTGTCCTCCTCCCCTCTCCCGCCGCCACCGCCTCAGTCGGCTTCCTCGCCCTTGCCTCCCTTTCCACATCCGGGCGCCTCTCCCATGCCTCCGCCTCCCCCTCCGCACTCGAGCTCCTCTCCCATGCCTCCGCCACCCCCCCACTCGTCCTCCTCCCCGTTGCCACCACCTCCTCACCCCTCGTCTTCCCCGTTGCCACCACCTCTTCATCCCTCGTCCTCCCCATTGCCACCACCTCCTCACCCCTCGTCTTCCCCATTGCCACCACCTCCTCACCCATCGTCCTCCCCGTTGCCTCCCCCTCCTCACCCATCCTCCTCCCCACTGCCACCACCTCCTCACCCCTCGTCCTCCCAATTGCCACCACCTCCTCACCCCTCGTCCTCCCAATTGCCACCACCTCCTCACCCTTCTTCGTCCCAAATGCCCCCACCTCCTCACTTGTCTTCTTCCCCACTGCCCCCTCCTCCTCACCCCTCCTGTTCCATGCTCCCGCCGCCTCACCCGTCCTGCTCCAGCATGCTCCCCCCCCCACCCCACCCCGACCTGCTGATAGACAGCCACAGCCAGGCTCTGTCCCGCTCCTCCACCCTGCCTCGCCGGCCCTCGGGGTCGGCCCGCAGCCACGCGGAGCAGGAGCACTACTACAAGACCATGCAGAACGAGAGGATGTTATAGTCCGGCAGGAATGACCGCGGCCGTCGTTGTTAACATGACGGATTGCTCTTGAAAAGGCCGGGTTGAAACACACACTCATGCAAGTTGCAACGAGTACAGCGAGATGTATGATTTTTGAACAATGACAAAAAAAGGTATAGTGCCAGTGCGGGGTTGAGGACTGTAAGGGATGTCTGGCAGGTAACAAACTCAGCAGGAAATCTGTTTTGTTTTTTTCATTTCTTGCTCATATATACTGCCGCAAAGTCAACAATGATCAGAGAAAGAATTGACAAGAGGGTTCAGAGGGAAACAACAACAACAAAAAAAACATGGTTTATTTGTGCTTTCAGCAAATTGGTCTCTGTAAGACTCATTCAAGGGAGGAACTGACGAGGCCACAGCTGAGAAAAGATATCGCTACGAACAGTTTGGGATTTGCTAAATCGAATATCCCCCTGACAGGAGGGATAACAATGGGAAAACAACTACAGGCAATACCCGTTCATCTAAAACCTGTGCAGGTTGCCAGCTCTCACATGCTGAGAATTTTCTCTTGTGTTCGACTGAAAAACTCCAATGTCAAGCCCCCAGCAGCTGTTGATAAAGGAAAAGCATTCAGTCATGTTCAGCACCAGGTTTAAGATTTTGATTATCATTTTGCCCTCTACATAAACACTCCGAACCAGGAAGCGGTGTTTTTAACTTCAAGCTAATGTGCCGATATCCACCACAGATAGCCAGCTTAGGAAAGGGTTGGGTGTAAGGAGGATCATGCACAGTTGGACACCCCTACATACACGTCACTGAGTGGATTACTGTGGGAAACATAAGAGGCAGTGGGAGGGAAAGAGAATTGTACCGCAAATGAAAAGGGCACGGAGCACACTGAGCCAGGCAGACGGTCCGCCTTTGCTGTGTGTGAAACCTGCCACGGAACCTCGCTTGAAGCTGAGCCCGGGAGATTAGCTTGCTCGCAAAACCGCGCTCTTCTCGTTTGGTCTCTTGGCAAATCACAATTGTGACGAATATGTCGATGGAGAGTTGCCCAAAAAAGATTGGTTGTCGTGGAGCTCGCCTCCGTCTCTAACGTGATGGCTAAACTGGGCACTGTTTGGATGCAGCCAACTGGTTTTATAGTCAGACCGTAAAGAAACACTTTTAAAGAGCAACATGCAGGTTCGTAGGTTGGGAAAAAAAGTCCATGTTTGATATGCATCATTGTATATATATGTTGTTTTTTAAATCAGGTTTAATATAAGGATGGGCTCTACAGGACGTCCCTAAACTATTCCTCCGAAAAAGATGTTATGACTTCTTACTACATCCACCCCAACATCCTTTACTGTTTTATGTTTGCAGGCACATAGGAGATGTGACTCTGGTTATCCCTTTAATAAGAATGCCTTACTGAGAAATTAGACTGAGAAATTAGACTTTTTTTATATCAAGATAACAATAGTAAAAACAGCCTTCCATCCACACAACAGGTTATACAGAAACAAACAGTGTTACCAACAACCCAAAAAGAGCTCAGCTCAAGTGCCACTTGTTCTCCTGCTCAGAACACATCACACTCATGGTTTGCTCTGTGGCCACAAAGCTGTTGTGATGCGCACACAAATGATGGACAAAACACATTTGCTGATGAGGATTGTCCAATGTTGTGGAAAGCTTCTTGGAAGGCATGTGAGTGGACTTTGAACTGGAATACATTTGTCAACTGGAAATTTCCTTTAGGGCAATTTTGAATGCAACCAACATGTCTCTCATGATCAGAACGGTCTATCATGTGTTGAGTCAGTTTAATAACACAAAACATTCATCCTACATCTATAAATAGGAATGATGCATAAAACCTGTTGGTTCTCCTCCTATGCACTCTGCCTCTTGTGCGTATTTATACCATGTTGTATAGTTTTGTTTTTCTTTTGTTTTTTCGCTTTCAGAAGCCATTTCAGTGCTTTATTTTGGACCTTCACTGGATCACATTTGAATGAAACACAGACTCACATTCAGGTGAAGTTAGTGTCCACTCATGTATATAAAAAAAGATTTTCTGTTTTTTTTTAAAAAAGTCATTCTCAGAAGAAGGCTGTGTTAAAAGGAGTAAGTTCTTCATAGAGGTGCTCCATGGACCAGGAGCTGGTAGACAAAGATGATCGTTGGTTTGTGCTGCATGTTTTTATGAGTGTGTTTTTTTAGACTTCTGTGCTTTAAGTCTGCGCTGTTACCTTTTGACAGATTCTAGTAAGTATGCTACACTTTTGCTCCATTTTGACTGTAAAAAAAACTTGGTATTCTCTAATATTACTAAAACTGTTGTTATTACTCGGCAGTCCTCTTTTGTGGACTAATGTTTTTCTATCTGTGGTGACATGTAACATCAATAACCTTGTTGAATAAAAAAAAAGAGACGAGACTTCTTAACTGAGGTTTGTGACAGCACTGGGGCTTGTGCATGAAGCATGGCTCAACATAAAAGAGAAGAGGGTCGATGCAACAGGAGCTTTTACCGCCACCATAATGAAAAGGATCTTCTACATTGATTCTTGGCTTATGAAAACATACGAGCTCGTCTGTGCTCACGCTCACACAAATGTACACGGGCGGATGTAACACGGCCGCGTTTTTTGCAGTGCAGCATTTGCTGCTTTCATCTGGGTCGGTGTCAGGTTTCTGTAATGAATTCTGGTAGAATGTTGGTCAATCCCAAATGGCCTTTGAGGATGAATCAAACGATGGCCGAGGCCCATTTGGACGCAGGAAAAGTCTTGTGTAAATGTGCACTTTTTCATGTGAATTGCTGCTTGTTTGTGTATGTGTACTGTCAGTTTTGGTCGTACGCATCCTGTTTGTCTTTGGATTTATATATATGTTTATCTGTGTCCAATGCTGTGGAGCATGAGCTATGTGATCGAGCTGTAGAGGGACTGGGGACGGGGGGGCAGATGGTACACCAAGGCCTGAGGACAGTCAGTCTGTCCATGACTCACACTCAGCGAGCCAAAGCTCTCTCTCTCAATGTCTTCTGCTCTCTCATTGGTGGCCCCACAAAGCACTACATAACATGTAGTGTGCATGTTATGTGTGATGGCAGGAGGAGACAGAAAATGGAGACCAATCCGCATGCGTGTGTATCTATTTTTGTGGCCATATGTTTCTGTACATGCTCATACAGTTTCCGTGTTTGTGTTTGTGTGTGTGTGTGTGAGAGAGAGAGAGAGAATTTATGTCCAGGGCAAGCTGCTTAGATCCCTTTCAGGACTGATTTACCACTGGAGAGCAGCACAAAAGCCTTTTGTCCATGGCTCCCTTTTTTCTTCTTTATCTTACCCACTTTGCCACAATGATTTTACCTTCTGCAATCTCACACAGCTCTTTGTCCACCCGTCCACATGTAGGGGGTGGATTTGGGGCTTTAGAGCTTATATTCTGTCCAAGCTCTCTCTGTTTTGAATGAGGAGTTCCAGGAGGCAAACCAATTCATTTTTATGTTAAGAAATATTTTAAAAAATGTTATCACAACTTGATCATTAGTACTAAAAATACTGACTTGTAAATGGGCATTTTCAATGTGGAGAAACCCCTGTTTTAACATCCCAATTATGGAAAAGATGAAAAAGTGACGCTTTCATTATCCCCTGGTGTGATGGTGATTTTAAGTTGTCAGTCTGAGATTCACACTAAATTAAATGAAGTCTCACAAGGGCTCATTAGATTAAGTCCTTTGTTGACCTGACCGGTACAGACATCGTACAGCTCCACCAGAACCCAAACCAGCTTTAATGTGTCAGTCAGGCGTCTACCACCACAGCTGGAGGCTGAGGCTGACATTTGTATGTAGCGGGACTCTCAGAGTAAGTAGGTTTATTTGAATCTTGCTTCCATCTCGATGTCCAAGACAAAGAAGATATTTATTAAAACAATATTCTCAGAATGTTGAGTAACCCCATAACTGTAAAAGGTACTACAGATTAAGATGTAAATATCATGTCTAATGGATGCACTGCGGGATGTACGGGAGCTTTCTGGGGTTCAGCCCAAAGGTTATAAAAAAGGGATAAATGTCTTACCAGACTATAAGTTATAAAGTTACAGCTCAGGCAAGAGCTTGACATTTTTATAGGATGATCCTCACCTTACAAGGAAGCTGCTACTTTATAGGAGCTTGAGTTTCAATCCTACTCACCGTAGATATTCTATGCATGGACCATTTTTTTTACCATTTCTAAAAAAAAAAAAGAGGGGAAAGGGGTCCATATCAAAGGTTTCTGTTCCCAGTACTGTGAGAATAGATTACTACCCCCTAGATTAACACCAGTATCTAAGACACATTCAGTTTTTGTTTGGGGGAAATTAACCCATATTTACAGCATTATTTTATATCACTGTGACATTATTGGGCCGTTTCGTGTTAATTTCTCTCGATTTATCCACAGCTTTTTGAACATTTGGGTCAGAGGAGAAGAGAGCCATGGCCGCCAGGCTGAGCCTCTTCAGGTGGGGTCATTAAGTCGAATGAGTCCTGTCTTCTTAATTTTCCAGCAATTGCACACATTTTGTGATTTGTTTAGAGGTTAAGAAATTGCTCAGTGTTAATTACGTCCATTCTTCCCAATGCAGTGAAATGATCCCACTGGCTGCAGCACATGCCAGGAAAAAGAATCGACCCTCAGCAGTTGAAGAGATGGCTTAAATTGAGGTTGCCAGGGCACAGATGGTTGACCATATCTTCCTCTAATTGAAAGGTAAGCCTTTCAACACCTACTCCTACTCCCACAACGCCCACTCTCCCCAATGTACTAAAGTTTTGTGAAGGAGAATGCAATTTAGTTTAGTGTTTTACCGTTCTGAGCCACAAGATTTCCAGGTTATCTTTTCCGTTTGGGAGCAATTCATTGTCTGAGAAGAGCTGTTCAATAAACCCGCCTGAGCTTTTTTCACCTTGCTCATCTTTCCACCACAGTGTCCTTCAGCACGACACTGAACCCCAAGTTACTCTGGCAGGAAAGGCTTTG